CAGAGGGGCTAAGAGAGACCGGGTTGCAGTCACCCCAAACAACTTGCTCCATCAAGTTTTCATCTAGAGATAGACCAGTGATATTAATAGCAACCTAATCTCTTTCACATTCTTTGTGCTGCTAAAATGAAAGCAAAAATTCAAAGCTGGAAGAACAAAAAAACTCCCTTCTGAGAATACTGAGTCATTGCAGAAAGGTCAGTGGAGGCTGGGTTAACCCCTCCTCTCCCAGAAGGGCCTCTTGCCTCTTCCCTTCCCAGCACCAGGAGATTAAAAGAATCTGAGAGCCACTCAGCTTGCAGGCTGTACTCCTGGGACTGCGTGGTTTCAGAGAGGGGCAGGTCACAAGGCTCTGGGAGAGGTGTCTTTGGGGCCTTTAAGAGAGACCACTGCCTTCCAAGAAGCCCCTCCCCAGCTGGGGGCCTAATCCTTCAAGGAGCCAGAGAGTCAAAAGTGTGTGGTCGACTCCTAGCACTGTCTCCATGAGCCACGTGACTTTGGGCAAGGCTTTGAGTGCATTTCCTCCTCTGTAAAAGGGTAGTAATTATAATGCTGATAATAATAGTACTTTTATTACCTACCTCACAGAGTTGCTGAGAGCCCTGAAGGGGACAGTCTCTGCAAAGACCACATAAACCCTGACTCCTGGTCATGGCCTCTGTGCTTGTTGGGACACAGCAAGCCCTGAGCCCTACAAGGCAGGGCTAGCTCCCTTTTCCCTACCTCCCACTGCTGCAATCCTTCCCAAAGCAAGGCACAGAATGGCCCCTCCCACCAACTGTGGTGTGGGGGACAGAGGAGCCAGGCCAGTTGAGGCTGGGCATGCCTGTATTTTATGGCCAGTCTGTCACATGGTGACACACACAGTGGGGGTCATGCAGCCTCAAACTCCTTTGCCTTCATAAGGCCTCTGACCTGACAACTAAGGTGTGAAGCCTGCTTTCTCTGCCTTTCCCCACCACTATCTTTGACCTGCCACTTACTAGCTGTGTGATCTTGAGCAAGCTGTTGACCTCTCTGAGCCTTAGTTCCTTAATATAGTACGTGAGATAATAAGACCTTTCTCATGGGGGTTAAACAAGATAGCACTTGAAATACACTTAGCATAGCATCCCTTACTCAGCAAACAGCCTAGAAATAACTGATGCATGAAAGCATCAACAACATTACTAATTTGCTTTGTTTTATGAGCAAGGGCAGATATTTAAACATGGTCTAGTAACGTCTAGCCTCTTCAGTTGCACAAATGATCCGATGGTTACCTCAGCAGACTCTTGGATCATTCATGCCAGATTCAAAGGTAACTGGACCCAGTCAAGTTGCTTCCCCCCTCTGCACCTCAGTTTCCCTTCCTGTAAAAGGGGTCAGGCTCTAGTCAAGCACTGTCTGGGGACAAAATGAGTAGAATCAAAAGAGCTGACTAACTCTTGGCACTGACCTACCTAACCTTTTATTGACTGGACTAGAAAGGCAGCGAGAAGGGTCCTGAAAACGGGTTAAAGGAGCAGCTCAGAGACCAAACATGCCTAAATATTCTTTCCTTTTATGGGCTGGTGCCCTAGATCACCACTTCCTGGAGATTGTATTCTAAACTCTGCTGTCATGGATGCAAGGTTCACGTGTCCACGAGCTCCAGCGGAACCCAGATGTCACCCTTGGGGAGGGACTCTCCTTTTACCTTGCTATTTTAAGCAGTGAGTTTATAATAATGGACAGAGAGAAAGTAAACGGGGCAGGAACAGCGTGGGAATGGCCCGGTAGGCGGGGCTGCTGGGCTTCACCAGGGACCTGGGGGTCCATCTTGTCAAGTGTGGGCCTGGGCCTGCATCCACTCTGCCTCATCCCACAGCAGTTGACAGCTCACAGTACTGGTCTGATTTCATTTGTTTCTGTCTTATTTTGCTTTCTGGTGGACTTACGGTCTTTCTTGCAGAGAAGGAGGTGGAGGAAAGGAAGTAGATGGTTAGAAAAGGGAATGTTTCTGATGCGACTTCGGAATACCGTGATCTCAGAATCCCGCAGTGGGAGCTTTTGGTCTTGATGTTTGTCGTGACTAAGAAGAGTTCAGGATTCCAGGGACACCCAGGATTAGAAAAGGCCCCTAGAGTGGTCAGGAATCCTGTGACTCTCGGCCCAGACTTCGCTGGAACGCACCCCAGTAAGGGGAGCTCTATCTTTTAAGGATCAGCCTGCCCGTCTTTAGACAGTTCCAACCACCAGAAGGTTTTTTCTTGGCTTCATCTCACCTTGCAGTCCCTGGCATACACCCATCCTTTGGGAACCATAGAACCACACAAATGCCTTTCAAATATCCAGGAGGAGATTTTATGCTTCCTTGCACCTTCTCTCCTCCAGGCTAAAGGTCTCTAGTTCTTCCAACACAAATTCTTGTCCCCGTAGCATCCTGCTTCCCCTTTCCTGAGGATGCCGCATTTGTCAGAATCCTTCTGAGCATGCAGGGTATAATATATTTTGTGTAGACGAAGACATAAAGGAAGAGTGGAACAGTCACCTTCCATGTTGAGGAGAACTTCAGAAAGTTGGTGGAAAGAGGGAATTGAATGATGAGTTTACTTTGGGGCAAAACATTTTAATCCATGCATTATTTTTTCATACTATGTGTTTTCCATGAACTTTTCAAAAACCTCTTTGTACTATTTTCCAATTGCCTCTGACTGCCACCCAACTTGATTCAATGCTTCTGTTATCCTGAGGGCCACGAGCACATCCTCATCATCTTTGTGTCCCCAGCACCTAGCACGGCGTGAGCAGAAAGTGAGTGTTTGCAGGGAATGACTGTTTAAGGATGTTCTGCTCAGAATAATATTTCTTGTGTTGAACACCAGGGGGCACCCCAAGTGTTTCAGAACTGAGTGGGGATATCTTTTTACAACGCATTGACAAACGTCAAAATGGCGGTCACTTTGACCAGTCCTGGAGCTAAAGTTCTCTCCTTTTTAAAGCACATACTAGCAATGTCAAACTTTTTGCCTGCTTCAGGGAGCTCAGCCCTGAGTTTGGGCTGACGCTGATTAGCTAGGGTCTGTCAGAGTGGGGTCTGTCAAAGCATGACTGAGGGCAGAGCCAGGCCTGCCTGCCACACCCTGCCTCTGCACCTTTCCTGGCTATTTTTATGGGACAGGAAGAAGCCCTAGTGTCATGGGGGGGGGGGGCAGAGCTTTCTGGCTCTTTCTCTTGCAACCTCCAGAGTAAGCAACATCTTGCATAGGATCTGGGACACGGCAGTGACTGAGTTTTTTTTGTTCCCCTTGCGGATGTCTCAATGGTTAAAGATCCCCTGCCTCTGACATCCACATCTAGTGGTTTCTATCTGCCCTCCAGAAGAACAAGCAGCTCTTTCAGGGAACCTCTAAACATAGACTTGGTTCTGCAGACTCCTGAAGGCACCCTCCTCACCTCCCTAGTGGGGAGAAGAAAGGAGTTTAGGGATGAGAAGAGGCCTCCAAACCCCAGCCAAACTTCCTGGGCTGCAGGCCTCCAAGACAGGTGTGAGTCATCCTTAAAACATCTCTGCATGGGAGGCATTCTTAGTTCCATTCCCCTGACGAGCAAACCAGGGTTCAGAGATGAAGCCAGCTTTCTAAGGGCACATGACCAGAGAGTAGCAGAGGGAGATTCAAGTCCGGCTATCTGGTTCCAAAGGCAGCTTGTCATCCTTTCTTTCCAGAAGGAGACCTGGTCTTGCTAGTCTCCTTTCCTGAGAGGAAATAGGGTAGCTCAACTTGGTTGGAAGAGTCATGATCCTAACCCTCTTAACTGACAAGAAACATGGAAGTGCAGTGAGTGTGCTCTCAGTCACAAGGAATAGAAGACCCAACCCAAACTGACCTCAAGACTAGAGACTTACTTATTCTTGTAAGTGACTGGTCCAGAAAGAGTTCAGGTTTCCGGTACACTGTGATCAGGGCTCCAGGTCTCTTAGGTCTGCCTTCCACTGTATATGCCAGTGTTATCCTGTTAGACTTTCATTGTGGGAACAAAGTGGCTTCCATAGCAACAGGTTTCACAGCTGCACTCTACTACCCAAAACAGCAGAAATCATCTGGGTCTTACAACACTGCCATATGCTGTTTGACATTGACTGGACCTATTTTCTGTCCCTGAGCTGGTCACCTAGTGAAATGGTTGAGATTATGCTGATTGGAGTCAACCTCGGCCAGGCCTCCAGGCTGCTTTACCACAGGAGGGGGTAGTCTGGCTCTTGGGAAGCAATGCAAGGTTGCTGGAGATAGACACTGCTTAGAGCACATGGGATCCACACTGGCTGGGCCTCCAGGTGTCAGCAGGACTGGCAGGCCCAGTAAGGGCTGTGCTTAAGTAAGAGAGCTGAGATGAAGGTCAGCAAATCTGCTGAAGGGCATGAAGGGAACCATAGCGGAGGAAATCAGGAAAGAGCCATCTCCTGCATCCTCCCCACATGGTCAATGGGGGTTGTGTGTACAGTGGTAAGAGCATGGCCTGGCCTCAAAATCAGGAAGATCTGGGTTTAAATACTTGGTTCTCTGTATGGTTTTGGGAAAGTGGGCAATTTTCTCATCTGTAAAATGGGACTATTAGTGCGTACTTCAGGGGCCATCTTGACAATTTGATGAGATGAGGCTGGTGATGCTCCTAGGATGGCATTCAGCCTCCAGAAGGAGTTCAGTAAGTGGAACACAAGTCCTAACTGCTCCCAATGGAGTAGCCTCCATTAGCTATAGCTTTAAGGAGTTTGGAGCCCTTTTCTCTCTTCTGGGATAGCTGTGTTTACTGTAAGAACCAAATTAGATGTAAAATCTTGGAGGTCACCTCTGACTTGTAAACAAAGCCTGAGAGCAGGAGGAAATGCAATTCCAAATGCCCTCTCCTGCCTGCTCTGACCTCTGGTGTTGATAAAAACTCAAGCAAGCTCCCTCTGTGGCTCGCAGCTCCTGGAAATGGAGCCAAACTTGGGACAAGGATGGGAATGGCTTTGACTTGTCCTTTTGGCATCTCCCCAGCCTGCGGAGCCCAGGCCTTTTGGAGCATCTCTGGGGCTGGTGCAGCGGAGGTCCCGGGCACACGCAGCCACTCCCGCCAGGAGGCTGCCATGCCCCACAGTCCTGAGGATGAGGATCCCCCTGGAGACCCACAGGCAACCCAGAGCCCCACCGGCCAAGTAAGTGCCCCCTCCCTGCCCATGGCTAGCCTGGCTGGGGACCAAGCCATGACCCCCGGGCCAAGGCCACAGCTCCCAGGGCAGCCCTGCAGCCGCTGGGGACCAAGCCATGACCCCTGGGCCAAGGCCACAGCTCCCAGGGCAGCCATGCAGCCTGCAGTCGGTGCCTGGGGATGATGTGTAGCTTCCACATTGAGGATTCAATTTGAGTTGATCGAAGCCCCACCTATCCTAAGTGTGGAACCACCAGGCTATGTCTGACTGAGGCCTGTCTTAGTCCATTGTGTTGCTTAATAACTGAAACTGGACGACTTTTAAGAACAAAAGTTTATTTAGCTCCAAATTTTAGAGGTTCAAGGTCAAGGGGCTGCATCTGGTGAGGGTCTGCTGATTGGTGAGGTTCTGAGGTGGCATGAGGCATCACCTGGCAGAAGCCTGAATTAGCAAGGTGTGTGTCTCTGTCCCTGTGTCTGCTCAGTCCTTCTCGTTATAAAGCCACCAGCAGCCAGTTATGGGGTCCCCATCCTAATTACTTCAATCCTGATCATCTCTCAAAGGCCCTACCTTTGACACCACAGTCAGATTAGGTTTTCATCCTTTTAATCCCATCACAATCAAACACATGAATTTTGAGAGGACACATTCAGAGCATAGCAGGCCCCATGGGAAGTCATACCCCTAACCCTGTAGGCTCCTAAATTAGAGAAAAAGAGACAATATGGTCCTTAGAGGAGAACCATCAGCACAGAGAGCCTCATCACATCAGGGTAGTAGGCACTGGCAAAAGTCCACTTAAAGTGAATCCAGTTAAAATGAAGATTAAAATTTAGTAGGTAGAGACCAGAGTGTGCTGTGGTGGTTAAGGCACTGGATTCCACAGGGCTGACTCCACAGTTCAAGTCCCAGACCTGGCTCGAAAAATATGCCAGGCAGGTGTGCAAACTCCTGGGAGGGAAAATGGAGACGGGATCGAGGTGTGGCCCTTCCCCTTTGGGAGCAATTTTCACTTCTCCTCTTTCTCCGTCTACTTCTGGCCAGCACACCAACCTTATGGCAAAAATCTTTAAAAAAAATTTTTTTTATGTAGTATATACTGAAAAGGGTTTTCAACAATATTACTGTAAAATGCAAGTGAAAATAAGTTAAAGAAATTATACAAATTTATCGTACAAATGAAATTTTAAAAACAAGTTATTCTTAGCTAGCCATATTACAAAGTAAAGGTTTTTGGTGCCTAAAAATTAGCATATAATTTTATCATGAGCTTTGCAGTGGGTTTGCATTGAATTGTATTGTCCCATTATATCTAGCCATCATCCAAACTGACCGAGCCAAATGGGATACACATTTGTTAAGTGAAAGGAGCATGTATGACCAAGCATTATTTTTGTAAGTGGGCAGATTCTTGGTGAATATTTTCATATGATGATGACATTTGTTTTCTTACATCTCATAACCATGCGACTTTAGATAGTAAATACTTGGAAAAGAGTGGACCCTTGTATCTCCATATCTCAAACTTGTGGGATTGAATGTTGCAGAGTTCGGCAGCCTTCAGGGTGGGAAGATGTCTAAATGACAGTGGGCTAAGTCCCCATCTCTTTGGCCATAGCAAGGCCAGCTCAGGGTTTTGTTGAACACTCTCCCACCCTGAGACATCTTGGGCCATAGTGGGTGCCACTTGTCATCAAACCCCAAAGCTGCCAAGTTCTGAAAGCTTGAGGATTAAAGAAAAGATGACATCACAGAGCAAAACACTCCTGACTGAATTAAAATGTGACTGTTCCCAGAGGCTCAAGTTGTGACTTTCTTGGTCCTGTCTTCTCAGCAGCCCAGCTCCCCAGCCTGCACTCCTCTGCAATGGCCCATCTCTGACCCCTTTCACTTCACTAATGATGGTAGTGCCCTTGAGCAAGATTCTAGTTCCCAAATCCTGGGCTACTCCCCCCCATCCCCCCCAATGGCTACCCCAAGAATAAATGCATGCCTGGAAGAATAATGATAAATGACCAGCAGAGCTAGAACTCTCCTGTCAGTAAACACAGGCTTGTTTGCTGAATTTAGTTCTTCCTGACTCCAAAACTCTCCAATGAAAAGTTCTTTCAAATTATGTCATCAAGAGATACAAAAGAAAACAACACCAACACCTCTGGCCCTTTCAACCATTATGGCTTCAAAACACACATAGGAATAGCTCTGCTAAGTCAGAGTGAGGGTGAGCTTCTAGGGGTGGCCAAGCAACAGAGGAAGCTGTGAACTGGTGACACAGTTGAGCATAAAAGTCCCCCTATTGACTAGTGGAGCCCCAGATTCCAGTTACCCACAAGGTCAGTCTCCCTTGAGAAATCCTCTTATAAAATAAGGGCGTGGGCCTCAGTCTCTGAAGGCCCTTCAAATACTGTAACTATCTCTGTGCTAATGGGAAATCAAGACCATAGTAAGAATGTTTGCAGGCATTGGTAGCTTCTGCATTGGTAGAGCCTAACAGGAGAAGAACCCAGGAAGAATTCAGGGGATTTGGGAGCCAGGAAGCCCAGGTCTAACCAGGAAAGGCACATAGCACAGGATGTGAGAGTATGGATTCTACAGTCAGGGGAAGCTGGGTACAAATCCCAGCTTCTCCATATCCAGGCCAAGAGACCTTGTCTTGGTCCAGAGATCTTGAGACCAACCAAGTCTGTCAACTTCTTTGTACCTTGGGTTCCTCATGAGTTACCCAGGACACATGTTAGCTGCTGCCTCCTGGACTCTGCCTGGTCACCCTGGCCCTTGAATGCCTTCCTAGCCTGAGGTCCCATGGAGCCAAGATAGTGAAGACCCCCAGTTGAAGGCCATATCACGTTGAACACACTTTCACTTTCTGCCCTTACTGACATGCACTGGGTCTACCTGAGTTCTCCAAAAGCCAACTGGGCATAGTCAGTAAAGAGCTTCTCCTCCATGCACCCACCAGACAACCCCCAATGAGTTTCTGAGGCCACACAGCCTCTAGGAAGGTGAGGCCTTGAGAGTGGGGCTGGAGTCTGCAGGGCTGGAGCCCAAGTCCCTAAGAGCAATGAAAACCAGGGAAACAGAACTGGCCATGGGGACATGGTTGTAAGTCCCAATGCCGTGTGAATTCCCCTCTGCAAAGCAGGCAAAGAACAGAGCATCCTTCTGAGTTTACAGCTCCCAAGGGTCTAGCCCAGATCTGGTTCCTGAGGGCCCAGCCTGCATTTCCCATCACTGGCCTTCTCACATAAGAACACAAAGCAGTAGGAGTAGATCCTGTTTTTCTGTGTGTGTGTGTGTGTGTGTGTGTGTGTATGTGTAAGTGTGCACGCACTCCATCTTTCTCATGCACAGACACACTCTTCAGGCTCCTAATCAGAAGTTGTAATCAAACCTCACAGTGAAACAAAGCCTCACAACAATGCATTCTGAGGCTGCATCTTGGGCAGTGTTTCTAGGTTGGCCCTTGGACGAGGGTAGGCACAACTCAAAGGCAAGAGCACATGGCCAAAGGGTTCTGGCAGGACACAAGCCTGGAAGCTTAGAGGACCACGGAATGATAGACCATCAGAGTCAGAGAGATCCCAGATTCCATTTAAGCTCCCCAGACAAGCAAAGCTCTCCTTGACATGAGCCCCAAACCAGTTATCTTAGGAACCTGCAGCACTGTTAACTTTTTAGTGTCCAGTCATCATTTCTCCTTCATAGCTGAGCAAACAGAGGCACAGAAAAGTTAACTGTCTCCCTCCAGTCTCATACAGCTCACCAAAGACAGGCCCACACAGCCTGGTCTCAGAGCCCATTCTCACACTGAGCATCAGCGACTTTAATCTCTGAGCTTCCACATAAGTTGTGGTGCCTGGGCCAAGGGGATGCTGGCTTGTGCTCCCAAAGCCTCCCACTTCTTGGCCTGGCCCCTGCTGGACTCACC